GTCCTCCCTTGACCCTAGATCCTGAAACAGTTCCTGCCACACAATCCTCTGTATTACATTCTACATAGTACTTCCTTCTACACAGGAATACCTCACTTACAGATTGTTTTGTTGCTTGGCTTTTTCCACCAGAAAGCAAACAGCATGAGGACAGATATGACATTAGATGCTTGGGATCACATGCTTAGCAGAATATTGAATATGGTTTTGGAATGAACAAATGAAAGAAAGGACTAAATTCTGCCCAAATTTCCTTAACATCTGTAGTACCAAGCAAGGCAGTGGTAGCCAATGTAAAGGAAAACTCTGGGAAGAATAAGCATAATCTTGATTAACTTTCACTTTTCTCCCCACTCTTGGAAATAAGAAGAATGAAAATGTATGTGAAGAATTTATATGAAGGAAGTCACATGCATTGGATTGAAGCAGATAATAAAGTTAAACAGAAGCAAAATATTCAGCTAAGACATAACTAATATACTTAATCATGAAAGATGAAATGAAGAGTGGTACTTTCTTTCATGTAGGGATAAAATCTGAGTTAATAGAAGCTCACATGTAACTCCTAAATGAGGGCTAGAGAGATGGCTCAGCCATTAAAGGCTAGGCTCGCAACAAAAAAAGTAACTCCTAAATGAATTTCAACAAACAAAAAAGGCAAATAAATATTTAACGAGGGTGTCTGGTCCTGCTGCGTGTCCTATGTGTTGAGCTCTGAAGTTGGAGCTGCACTTAGAGAAAGAGATGGAGAACCTTTGTTTTAGTCATCACTATCACTTAAAATTCAGACCTAGTACTGCCAACCACCCCAGCTTTCTGTGGCTTAATACCAAACAGTGTGTGGTAGCAGGCACCTTTGGTTAAGAATGATGTCAATTAAGGCCTTGGAGGAGGTAAGGGAGACCAGAAGTCAAGGGCTTTCAACCTGGATGTGGGTCTAAATTTGGCTATTATCACATTCTATCATAGGTGACTTGTATCATAACTGCATGCAAAGGAATACACAAAAATATCATAATGCAATGGCCCTTGCTCATGTGACAGATGTTACCATCTGAAAAACTTAAAAACCACTCAGTGATCCAGAATTATCATTAGACTGTAGACTAGATTTGGAAAAAGCAAGGAAATGTGAACAATACTGCCATTTATTCTGTGATGCTGCTTGGTGTTCAAACCTATTTGATTCCAGGATAGAAAAACAGTATGAATCTGTCCCCATTTCTTTACAGAAGTGCAATGGCAAACATCTCGATTTACCCAGAACACTTTATCTCAGATAAATATTTCCAGGACCAGAAGAAACTCAAAACAAATGGCTAACAGAGGCATCTATTAGTATACTAAAGTACACGCTGGCCTCCAGGCTCACTCAGTGCCTGTGGTTCCTCTCAGGTCCTCTCATCCTGCTCCCTACCCTAAACTCCCCATCTCATGGGCTTCCCTTTCAGCAGATTCTGAGTCCTAATTCCAGCCATGTTCTCTCCTGCTCCTCCCTCCATCTCCTTTGCTTCCTCTCTCTCTTCCTCTCTTTCTCTCCTCCCATGGCCAGCTCAGTTTACTGATCACATCTACTTTCTCTCCCTGCTCTACACTCTTCTGGATGCCTCTGGATGTATTCTCCCTCATAATCTACAACAAAAACTTTCTCGTCAACCATACCTTGGAACTGTCACACCCTCATTTCACTCAAATTTAAGCTTCTGAGTCTGGGTTTTTTTTCTATTATTAACAGTAAAAAGTTAAATAATAGGGCCTCTGAAATTCCTACCTGCTCATATTCCAATAATTAATTCTGCCTTTGTTCACAGAAGAGAAATACTTATCTCCTTTAATTAAACCACAGCCTTCCTGTTTAATTTAAGTGAGCAACACTATTTGGAATGTCTCTGCTGCAATCATTTGAAACAACCATGTGCCTCTTTGTACAGATTTTTAAACCTAAAGTAATTACATATTGGGTATTTTCCATATGCAAGGAGTGATGCTGTATTATTTAATCACAAATATTACATGGGAATATTCCATCTTATGGAGGAGGACAGAGAATCGGAGAGTAGGTTTAAAAGTCACAGCACTGTTCTGGCAAATTCAATGCATGTAGTCAAACTCCTTTGACGTGGAGTCTTAAATTTCTGATCCATGCCATTTTGGAAAAGCCTGCCAACAGGAACCTTGGTGTTTTGTCACCTGGTGGCACAGCTAGCAACTCACAGTCTAGGAATCCATTGTTATACTCCATAAAGACCCTTTGACATGTTCGAATGTCTGTTGTCCTTGCCGCCATTGTAGAATACATCCACTGCAAAGTGGCAGCGGCAGGAAAGTTCCTTCTTGGAAACTTCCATCCTTTCCTCTGATGGGAACTTGGGCACTTGGAGATGGACCAGATGAAGAAAAGGGAGCGAATCCCAACGTCCCAGATAGAATGCGGGGATTGAGGTCAGCAACCACATTGTCCTCTGGTTTGCAAGTGACATTCTAATGTTTGTAATTTAGTTTTTAATGGATTTCTATTTTGCATCTCCTTTCTGAATCAAAAATGTTCTTTGCCAAGAAATGGTTTCTCTTTACTTCCAGTTCTTCCCTCAAAATGAAAGTGACATTGATTTGTAAAATTATGAAATCATGGAGCAAGCAATGTCTTATGAAGCAAGTTTATATTTTGGGGATGCTGAGAGAAACATATCTTAACTTTTTAAAATCCAGTTAGCTATCTGTTAATATAATTTAATTCTCTTGCAGTGGTTCTAATCACTGGTTTTTTATCCCCATTGAGACCCAAACTCCCTCTTGAAAGGACAAAATCATAGACTCCTCTTTGGAAAATAGGATAAGCATAACAATCAAGACTAGACAACAAGGGAGACTAAAGAATTGTGTTAGATGAGTAGATGAAGATGCAAGTCATACAAAAAGGATAATCCAAAAGTAGAAGAAGAGAGAGGAGGAGTGGGGGGGAGACAAAATAGAAGCACTTCAATAAAAAATGTAGGCATCAAAGTATTTCAGACTAGAGCAAACAGGATAAAGTTTGCCAGTAAAAACCTGTGACCACCTTTCTGACTCTATGAGTGAAGCATCAAACTGAACCAAAAAACTCAGTTTCTGGGTAAGATGCAGGAATTAAACTTCCCGTTGGGCCCTAAGTGACTGAGGGGAGACCAATGTGTGACCAGGAGAAGAGAAGCAAAAACACAAGGACTGTGATGGCACCCACTGAATTAAGAAGTCAGGGGTCAGAGTTCAGAGAAGCCCAACTCCTAGGATTTGTGGGATGGAGTACCAGGTAGGAAGGGACACCAAACAGAAGAACTCCAGAGACCAGGGGAGGGGGACTCTGGCTGCATTCTCGTTGGTACACACCTATGGCCAGGAAGAACACCACAAGCAGTTAACCTGACCAGGAAAAGAACACTGGCCAGAGACCCAATGATAATGACAGGCCTCATTACTTTGGTTATCATATGACTTGATCCCACATCCACCAAGTGTCCCTTGTATCTTATAGACAGTCTTCAGTATGGCTCAAGACGTTCACGACGGATAGACATGGATCAGGGAGGAAGCAGATGCTGTAGGCACACAGGCCTACACAGGTAGGCCTGGGCCCTCTAGTCTAGTGGAAAATTGCCTTAACTGGTAATTGGCTCAACACCTAAGTCAAGAGACTAAGCAGCAACAGTTGTTGTGGGTAGTTGTTCCACAGAGGAGAAGGGTTTGCCCTTGTCGTGGCCTCCAGCTTTTGGCTCTTTCTGGAGACCTGGGATTGTTTCTAATCTTGGTTTCCAAGGGTCCCATAGCAACCATCTAAACCCCTGAAGCAAATGTCTCTGTCCAGTTCGAATGCTCTTCTGGAAAGACAGTTCCCTATACCTAGACACCCATGGCTACACTTTAAAAGACACGTAAAAGAAGAACAAGATGGGGATAAATGGAAACAAAACTGTTTACCTCGTCCCACCTACTCCATCCCTCAAATTGCATTTTTGAGTGTCAAGGAAATTATATCTACGGAAAATGAGAACCAGGGTTTAACCTCCTTGGACAAGTCTATTTCATCTGTTTCTGTTAAAATGTAAGTGCTGCTGATGAAATGTGAATGCTGTCTTCCTGGATGATACCTGCTCCAGGAACTGCTGTCACCTTTCTGTTTTCAAATTGCCACCCTTCCCACAAGCATTCTTCTTCTTTTTCCCATTGCCCCTTTGCCCTCATCCCCAGCCAGTTCTAACTCAAGCTGAGGCACACACTGAACATGCTCATGGAAATAAATTATCCTGGCACTCTGCCCAAGAGCATAGAAACTGGAGCTTGTGCACTCAGATTCAAAAGCTGCCTCTGCCTCTGTCACAAACTGGCTCTGTGATCCTGTTTGCCAGCCACTTAAGCTTGCTGTATCACAGTTACCTCGTCTGTGGAAGGAAAACAATCTTAGCGTGTGTTTCATAGAGTCGCTGTGTGGATTAATGAGATAACGTGCCTAAAGCCCTCGGCACAGTGCCTGGCACGTAACAGACTCTCACTAAATGTGAGCTTTTGTTATTAATAGTTACCTTTTATTTGGGGTTTTGTTCAGTGAAATAGCAAGGTAAAAAGGAAATGAGAATTCTGGTAGTTTAGGACTTTGTTTGTTTGTTTCTAAAAAGGGGAAATGGGCAATAGAGAAGACTCTTGACCAAGGGAGGGAGAAGCAGCAGGGTGTGGAGCCTTTGACAAGCTCCTCCCTGTCTCATGCATCTCCCCTCTCCCTCCTCACATACACAGACCCGAAGTTTTAGCACCTTTCAGCCCTCTGACCTGCAGCTTCACTTCAGGGTGAGCAATGCTGTGTTCAGAATCACGGTCGAGCATAATTCAATAGAACCTTTTAAGCCACATCATAATGCAGCCAAACATCAGAAGCAGGGGGGAAATACTCTTGTGCAACTTACTTTTTACCAGGTTGTGGAAACTGTGAAGAAGCTTGTTACACTGGGGATCAAGCGGACTTCACTCACCTGCAGGAGTCGACTTGGCTGATTAAGGACCCTCCCTTTTGCAGAGCATCGGCTGTGGCATCTTTAATTTCTCTGTGTAATTCCTCATGCCTTGCTGCCAAGACAGGCAGGCTTAAACCCTCTGATTTAAGGAGCTTAAGGTAAGCTTCAGCTTTTCCAAGTACATCAAATGCCTGCCAAGAAAAACAGACTTTCATTTTCTGCTTTTCTAGCTTAAAACTCTACATCAATGTGTACACGAAACACTAGCGATTAAAGCAGTGTTACTTAGCATTGAACTTAGTAGTTTGAACATAGCAACAAAAAATATCTTAGTTCTGGAAAACAGCTGTGCAATCTCCACTTAGGGAAACTTACAACTTAGTTCAACATAAATAAATATCAACACAATGAAAGTACCAAAATAGCTTATACTAAGAAGATACCTGTGACACAGAGAGACAAATCTGAAATTCAGAGAGTCAGGCTGATGTTTTGCATATTTTATACTGTACACACATAATGGATGAGCTATTAAAAACTTAGTAGCCTTTCATGACCTGAACATCTCTGAAACAAGTCTTGAAGGGAAAATTCCTGATGTGCTATACTTCTACTTCGAACCTCAAGCCCAAGAGGGAGACAACCAAGAAAATACTAGTATGGTTTTACCCCCTTGCCTTTTAAAATATGACCTTGGCCCATTCCATCCAAGGCATCTACATGCCCATAAGAGGTGATTATAACTCAGTTCTGAAACACTGCAAAGACTGAGAGCAAAGTCATTGTTTCTGATATGCTAATATATATATATGTGTGTGTGTGTGTGTGTGTGTATGTTTGTATGTATGTATGTATCCACAGACATTTCAAATCAAGGCACTGTCTTAATTTCTCTTTATGTCTATGGATGTTTTGCCTGCATGCACATCTCTATACCATTTGCGTGCCTGGTGCTTGTGGAATATAGAAGAGGGTGTGGGGTTCCCTTGAACTAGAGTTACAGATGGTTGTGCAGATAGCTCTGGAGGTGGCATGTGGGTACTAGGAACTGAATCCTAGTCCTAGGCAAGAGCAGAACAACTGTCCAACATACTAGTACAAAATGATCATGGAATATAAAGGAGCAGTTCATTGGTTATTTAGGATTAGGTGATATTAAGATATGGAAGCATTGGGTTGGACGGATGTCTCAGCAGTTAGGAGTGCATACTGTTCTTGCAGAAGACCTGAGTTTCATTTCCAGAACTCACACTGGGAGGTTTAAAACCTCTTGCAACTCTGGCCCTAGGGAATCTTACATCCTTTTCTGGACTCCACAGGCACCAGCATTCATGTTCATATATCACCTGTCCCCCTCCCCTGGTACACTGTCAAACAATCTAGAATAAAAACACGATGAAAAGATATACAAGATAACAGGAATAATAATGGAAAATTGTAATTTTTAAAAGAGATAAAGTAGAGTATAATCTTCATAGGTTTCCTGACAGCCCATTTTTGACCTTTGGCCTAGAGAAAAGATGAGTAAATAGAGCCAAAAAAAAAAAAGCTGAACATCAAGAGAATTCTTCCCTTTGGTGCTGTTGGGGGAACCTCCCTGTAGAATGTTTCATACCACACCAAAGAACATTTCTAGCAAAAAGCAGCATAGTGCCATGGTGCACCAGATGGTCCTGCAGAAGCCTTGAAGCTCAGTCTTCTGGATTGCTCAGTAGGAAACCTCAGAGCATGGCAGGGGCCCACGGGAATGGAGTAGGAATTCCCCCACAGAAGACTGTTAGGGAGGATCGCAGACTATCAGAGACAAGAATGGATGGACTAATGGAGACCTGAGGGAGGCAGAGGAGTGTGGCTGGGCTAAATCTCACAGAAGACAGCTTGAAGACTTCAGCTGTGCAGTTGGAATGGGTGAAGCATATGACCCTGAGTTCATTGTATTGTCTTAGGGAAGTAATGTGAATGGCCAGATTCAAACTAGACAGAATTGGAATCTACAGAAATGTCTCAAATGTCTCTTATATTCTGAAATTCTCTTCTCCCTCCAATGTCCTCACATCTTTGAGGCTGGCTTTCTCTAGTCACTTAAGCATTTTAAAGAATCTTTGATATCCAAGAATTCTTTCTTACTATGTTTCTCTTGAGGTTGGAAACAAAGTGCAGCAATATGCTGATGTTAGGAAGGATGATTTTATGACTTTTCAGGTCCTTCTATAGCTCGCTGAAGCACCAACGAGGAACAACCACTGCTTCTGAGATCTCACTTTTAATTTTAAATTTGGGGTTTCTAATTTAGGATAAAATGGAGCTTCTTGTTAATTGAGGATAAGATTTAAAGCCAGTGCCTAAAACAAACTTCTGGCAAAGCTAAAATAATCTTGGATTCCCTTAAATCCCACTTAAATTTTAAGGTTGGTTGTTGCATGTTATATTTATACTTCAGATTGACAAACTCTGAGCTCCACCAAAGGAATCAATAAGTGGAAAGTCTACATGTAAATGTCAGAGAGCCCTCTACTTCCTTCCTTATAAAAAGAAAAGATAGGAAAAAGAAAACCCCTTGGTGTCCTTCTGAGAACCGAGGAGGGATAGAGAATTCAAGGTAACTTTTCTGTGCTACGCCATGCTCATTGTTGTTTTGAAAACTAAACAGTAACCAAGAATGAGGGCAGATGTGCAGAGAGTCCTCAGACATGGCTAGCTGCTATTCTAAATCCCCACGTCTTTAACAAGTCTCTGAGACTGGCTCCCCCACATGTTGCCTGCCTTTCATCCCATGGCGATTTCTCTTGTGACCCTACCCCAGCAGCTGCTTCTCTTAGACCTCAGTCATGCCCTCATTTTCATAGGGTTAGAAGATAAAACTGCAAGGCTGTTAGATGCATGTGTGATATCATTGTCTCCTAGGCATAAAGATATGACTTTCTAAAAGAATGAAGATAATCTGAAGGGTGAAACATGCACTAGAAATAAGAGTCATATAACAAAAGCAAAAGCAACTCATTAACTTGGAATCAAGTGAGCCAAATTTTCTTCCATATACTTTTCTCAAATAGTTCAAATGTCAGGAATACACTTCATTATTTTCTCTACATAATAAAGAAATAATAAAATGATGACAATATAAGGGAGATGACAGGTTTATTTTTCCTTTTGTTAGCTTAACATAATCACGGGCAGAACATCTGTGAGTAAGGCGAGAAGGATAGCATAAAGGAGATCATTACTTATTGTTGTAATAGTAAAATACTAAGACCAAAAGCGAACTCTGGAGGAAAGGGTTGATGACATCTTAGAGATTAAGATCCATCACTGAGGGAAGCTGGAGCAGGAGCTCAAGATAGGGACGAAAGCAGAGACTGTGGAAGGCATGGCTACTGGCTTTGTTATGCAACCCAGGGTTGCCTGGATTGGGATGGCATCACCAACAGTGGCCTTGCTCATCCACAACAACCATTAGTCAAGAAAATGTCCCACAGACATGCCTTCAGGCCATTTTGATGGAGACAATTCTTCCTTAAGGCTCCCTCTTTCCAGATGACTCTTGTTTGTATCAAGTTGACAAAAACTAACTGGCACATTTAATTTTAAGCATAATTGGGATAGTTCTGAAGATACAAAAAGAAGAGCCAAACCTTTGGGCTTTAAAACAATTCTTCTTTCAGAATTATGCTTTCTGTGACTGACTAAATTATATGCAAAATTCCCTTTGATCGTTCCCGTGTAGAATTTGATGAGGAATCCATGTGCCACTTCCAGAAATGATCAAGGCATCATCCATCACTCTCATTTAGCTACCCATAGGGAACTTGATATACTGGATCTCTGTGCTGCAATTACAGTGCAGAAGGTCTGCCTGGCAGTGAGAACACCGTGAATCTCATACAGACTATTGGAATTAACATCTCCTCCCCCTTGGCCTTTCTTTTCACAGCCCCCTGCTTCTTCAAGCCTTATAAGTCCAGGATGATTCAAGTTTTTATGACTATACTGGGAGGAAAAGATAAAAGTCCAAGGACAGGATTTTCCTTTCTGGTTCCCAGCTCATCTGAACCATCTCACATGGTACTACTCAATCCCTCACATACAGAGGAGACAGGTCAGCTCCTTGGAGTCCTAATTTGGAAAACATTTAGGAACCACTTGACTTTTGTTCTTAAAGGGGCCAATTAAAAAAAACTTCCCTGTTCCCTTTGTTAAGTGCAGATCCAAGATCAACTGCATCAAATCAAATATAGATGGTGTTGGAGAATGGTGTGTTTTTATATAACAAAAAGACTCATGATTTAAGAATCATGAGTCATATAGCATAATTCTACTGCCATGCTGGTTCACAAAGACGCTGGATAAATAGCAGTGTTATTAGATTTTTGACTAATAAATTTGGAGAGATAAAATATTAGACAAAAACAAAATGACACAGCCCGAAAATTAACCAAGGACATGAAACACAAAAGGGCTTCTGACCAGAGCCTCTGGTCACACCAGCTTTGGAGGGCCAGGGTCCCTCTGGGTTGCTTGTAAAGGACATGCATCTTCACCTTCCTATCCTGAGCATCACCAAAGAAAACTGCTGGTGGCTCAGGCTAGAGAACCGATTCGTTGTTGAGGACACGGCTGAAGTTGCTCCGGCTTGCAAAGCTGTGAAGACCAGGATCTGGAGGAAGATGAATTCTGGGTTCTTCTTTCCCATGTCTCCCTCTACCCGCCTTCCATCTGTTCCTTGCTTCTCTAAGTTGTTTTGCTGCCCCACTCCCATCCCTTCTAGTCACAGGGTAGATGAGTGGTCCTGATAAGCTGTGTTTAAAATCATTTTGTTGCTTGGTAGGCTTTCCTCACAATCTGAAAAATTCTGGAAAAGAAGCTTTGGTTTGAATTTGGGTATCAGCAGCATTTTATCAAAAAGGGAATGAAAGAGGTTCACATACTAGAATCTTGGTCTTCCTGAGGAAATTCACCTTAATGAGACTCATTAAGCAGAATTTTAGGCTTCCGGGGTCTATTCTCCTCTTTTTTCTTTTATCTTAATTGACTGAAGTGATTTTAGAATGATCTTTATACTGCTAATATGGGAAATCATGTATGAATCATTTCTACTTTCATCCCTTTAAGAAATACCCAGTGACATCTATGAACCATAGATTCAGTTCTATGCTAAACATAAGATTCGCCACATTAGAGTAGCTGGAGAAAT